CGCACAGCACGCGCTGCGACTCGTCCCCTTGCTGCGTCTGCGTCTTTTCCTTCGCCGCGCGGTGGGCCTGTTGGGGAGACACCCCTCACCCATTCATTTTCAGCGCGGGCGCTGTGACGTCACCTGGTCCGCCCCGCGTGCGCATCGCCAATGAGCTTTTCCTTTTCCCACCCATTCCAAGCTGTTCATCGCCAAGAGTTTTATCCGGATGTGAGAAAGATATGGCAAGGATTAGTGTTTTTTTTGCAGATTCAATGGCTCTCCTAGGATCGGTGACCCGATCACAGCTTTTCAAGCTGATTCAGTCCAAAGTTGGGGTTAAAGCGAGGCAGGCCGAAGCGACAGAGCGAATTCGTCGCGTCATCGACGACGTCAGCAGGCGATATCGCGTCATGGGCGATGGGAAACCAGCAAACGGCAAAGTCTCGGATCTCACGCCTCCAATGGGCACAAAACGGTATGGTCTCAAATATCTCTTTTTATGTGACTGCGCCCAATTCTCTCCCTTCTCTTCTTCAGCCAATACAATTTTAAGCGTCACCGCAGAAAGGAAAAAATAGCTTATCAAGAAAATCCGGTTATTATCAGTATGTTCAGGTTTTCCATTACACCTACTGTTGAGGATGAAGCTGAGAGGAATAGGAAATTATCCATGAAGTACGACAACAATTTCCTTACCGTCCCCGGTATAACCTACGGGACATCCTTTCCTGCCGTTCAATCCGGTATTTTTTTATATACACTCCAGTTCAACTGGCGGTCACGTTCCCCTCAATACCTCCTTGAAGCATGTTCATTTATTTTAAGGACGATATTCTTGCAATGGGCACGAAACGAGGTCGATCCAGCACGTTGTCTCAAGCGGATGCTTATCATACGATCGGAGGCAAGGGCTTTTGTTAAGGTTTTTGATCAAACAACCTGTTTTGCATGCACGGGTTGCGATTCATAGTATGGGAAGGCCTTGATCAGTAATAATTAATAGTGCTGGTTGTACAAGAAGGCAAAGTCACGCTGTTCCAGAAGTGTTCCGGTCATTGGCCCGCAAGGGTAAAAACAAGAAGGATCGCGATACCGAGTTCGACTTGCATGGAGAAGATGTCAGTTTCATGTTCATTTTTGTCATTAATCAATTTGGAATGGATCATTAGATGTGTAATTTGTCCCTGGGTAGAAAAGTGAGGCCAATACTGGCGGAGTGACCAGGCAGGACTCTGAATGCACGACCCTCAAGTGTTGTGAACAAGAAAATGAGGTTTCCTTGGACCCCGCATAGTTCCACTCCACTGCTAAAATGATGACGCAGCACAAATATGACTTCACGAAGCTTGGCGGTCATGAAGAAAGAGGGTCGTCTGAATCGCGGGTGACAGGGTCACTACTTTTTTATAGCAAAGGGGAAGGGGGGTGTACTGGTAGTTTATAGCAAGGGGTCGTAATCATTCACACGCTTCAGTCGCGTGAAAATTCATATTGAGGGGTGGGGTAAGTGGAGTTTTACGAGATTCCCTCGACGGCAATGTCGGAGGAAGATAGTGGGGGGGGGTGTCGGGGTGATGTGTTATCGGAAATTAATACTATAGATAGGGATGTGGTGGGTCGGGTGGTGTCGAGGTCCCGAAAAGGTTGTGTCAAGTTCAACTTGGGGTAAGGGTCGTTGAAAAATTGGTTGAAAAGTAACAAGATAGGACGATCTGAGCTGGAACTTATTTCAGAGTTTACCTTCCACGCTGTGCCAGCTCGAGTTTTTGTGACCAGTTATTGTATTATTGTTATGTTTAAGGCGAGGTCAAGCGGTATAGAAAAGAAACAACACACAGTCGAGAAAAATAATGATATCAAAACAATTATGGCGATGGTCAGTGGACCGTTGTTTGATCCATCCCTTAACAGATTCTCTCATCAACCTCGTCCAACTTAAATGTATCCTAGAGAATGAGATAGTGTCGATGAATCTGACATCATTACCACTTCACTCCGCCCTCAAAGCTTTCCAAATGGGCGGCAGTGGCGGAGAAGGGTGTAGGAGAGAAAGTATATATTAGGCTCCTGAAACAAAGCGGAGCTTTCATCCACCTCTATACCAGCTAAAGACTTGAAATTCGACCACATATCCAAAAATACAAATAAGAACTCTCTCCTCGTAAAGTCGTAACGGGCTGTTGACTCTGGTCTCCTTAAACAGAGAGGACCTCCGACCAGGGTCAACCCTATACTGCTACAAGTAGCAACGGGGGGGGGGGTCGTACTTGCTTCGGTTGTAAGAAGTTGCATGTGATGAGTGGGGAGCGGCGCGGGAGAAAATTTGCCGTTTCAGCGCGCTTATATACTTCCCGTTCAGCGGTAATTTTTTGGGTAAATATGTTTCGAAGAGGGGTGCTTCTATGGATAATTTTATGAGGGGGGGGGGGTGGTAAAACTTTTTGAATGTGTAACGATTAGGGGGCCGGACTGGCTCCGACATTTCTCAATCTTTATTTATAGTCGTGGGTCAGAAGTTACTCCTAGTTCTGGCGCAATCGAAACTATTCAATGTGACCGGAAAAAATGCGCATGTGCTTAACTATATAACCATTAGGAACAATGCTTTCTGCTTGTGACTTCAACCTATGAAGAAGGGTATGTGAGGTGAATCACGTTGATGCCCACTCAATAGTGGATTCCTATATCGTAAATGGTACGGCGGGCGTGGAGCCGGTAGTAGGTATCGGGCTTACTTGGTGGCGAGAAGGTTCACTCTAACACCATTTCCTTGGATTTGTCGTGTGACCTTAAATTGTGCTCGCTGATGGTTCAGACTTCGCCAGAATCAGACGACTGCATATTTAAAGGAGGATTGCACGGAAAGAACGAAGGTCGAAGAAGGAGAGAAATCGCCTAGTGGGGAGAGCGGTGAATCTCTTGAGGGTGCGGACAGACACGCAATCGGCATCGAAAGATTTGACCTCTGAGATCTAGCATGGCTCAAAGTTGGCGAGTTCGGCGATCTCCGCCCACCGATCGTCTGATCACTCGCCGTAGTACAATAGGTGGCGAGTGATTAGATAGCTGAGAGAGCGTAGGGTTGAAGAGGGCAAAAGCGATGAGAGTCCCATCAATGCTCAAATCAACGGACAAGGAAGGGGTCCCATTTCTCCGGTTCTGGGCCGTTTTTCGTGGTTTCGCTTTCTTTCTGGTACTACTCACCATCTCTACCTCAATTTGGAATGGGTTGCTTTTCCATCGTAAATTCGTCCTTTAAGTCAAATATGATGTAGAATATATGAACGTATCGTAGAAAGTTACTAACGCATACGTAGTTCTGCATTACAAGCATATAGGTATTATGGGGCCAATATCTGACTTGATATATGGAATACTATGATTTTAGAAAATTTCTAGGAACTTTTTTTTTATCATCATGAAAGACTTCGGATGCGAAAATTTTCTAATGGTAGTCTCGGGTTCAGCGAGAACAATGGGAGAAGTACGTTCTAGAGCAGACAATTGATCTGCCGGGCGTACAAGTCGATCCATCACCATTTCAACTGGTCGAGAGCACAAGTCTGTTTAAGGTTCGCGTTTCTATGGTCTTTAGGCGAATACTAGGAAAAATGAGGCTTTGGCGGATAGTGACACCTAAGCCGCAACAGGAAAACTATGGTCCATGGAGTTATAGTTTATAAGTTGTGACTGAAAGATTCTCAGTTAGTCATTCTTGACAGTATGAGTGAAAGAAGCATCTGTAAACTTAAGGCAATTTGTGCACTGTTTTATTTATTCGGGCTTAGTGGTGAAAGTGAAGTGTTGGGCGTAAGGCGGTGTATGTCATCGCGGCGCACCAATCATTGACGTGGCTAATTTCTCTAGCTTATCGGCGCATCTCTATCCTGTCTATCGCCCTTGATGCTTCTTCGGCACGCCCTCTTTGTCCAGTCTCGTATGAGCTTAGAAAAACCTTCATCGAGAGTGGTTTTCAGCACATTTCACAATTTCTTTTGCTTCATTCTTCATGACCTGCTCACATAATACGTTCCCTTTTGAAATGGTCCTCACTCGGCCCATCTTTTACCGTAGCATGCTACTGTTTCAAGGTCCTTTTCTAGAAAAGCTGCTCCTGATCGAAAAAGGAATGATTAATCTTGGCTGCTTTACGGTTTCCAGTTAGGTATTGGGTTTGGATACATAGTGTAGTGTGATTGCGCGACTAACATTAGACACAAAATTTTACGAGAAACGAGCGAATTAAAATTGAACGATCGAGCGAAGGGTGACGATTAAACCATTAAGGGAATATGTATTATTTCTAGAGAGAGAAAATTCTGGATTGGAGAAACTGTTTTTTTGCTTCGGACTTTCATCTTTTACAGGTGCATTCTTTATTCTCTCTTCTCGGTCTGAAGCGAGCATATGTGACCAAATCCGGTCGTCTTGTTGGAGTGATTTCGTTGAACAACGTAAGACATCTATTTAGTTTTTTTGCTCGCTTGCTCTCGAGAACTTTATTTCATTCAGGAAACCGTCCACAGATTCTGGGGAACTTCAAAATTTTGCAGTATTGCCCATTTTAGTAAATTATCCCCGTTCCCGTCATCGGGTGGATTCAAGAGATGGAAGGAAGTAGCTCTGCGGTAGGATTACCAGAAGTGCATGGGAATGTTGGAAGATTTCAAGTGAGGACACCTTTGTCTCTCCAGTGTCGGGTTCCCTTTCCTCGTGATGGCCATCAGTAAAAAATTTCGCGAGTTTATTAAATTCGTGAAAAATACGCTCAGAATCAAAGACGTATGTTACCATACCCGCCAAATCGTACAAATGTACTACCATCATGTGCGGGACCCTCCACATAAAACCAAACCTGACCCTATCTTGGCTGGAAATTATCCAGCGAATGGTTGACCCTACAAGAAAGACTATGAATTGTAATAGAAAGTTTTCATTGCCTCTCAAAAGAAATTTTCAGCTTCGATCTGCTATTGAAAATGTGCAATCGGGTATGACACCAACTCCTGGAGAAAGTATATTCCCTGATCAGAAACCGTCTGAATCCACCAGCGAGAACGATATCGATTACCTTCACGTAAGTTGAAAGTCGAAGTCAAGATCAAGTCGAATCTGATAGGTGTCAAAAGTTGTGTAACTTTTATTTAGGTCTTCAAGCTTTTTGATGCCACTGCTCACGGCTGCGTCATACTCGCGTTTCGAGAGAGGGGAATCGTTCAAAAGGGAAAGGACACGGAGGGGCAATAAAATAGGCAGTTCAGCTCTAATTTCAACCCGCAGAATGTGAACGATGATGGATCATAATGGAGTGCGCAGCAATAGCTGTAATTTATAACTCGATTTTGAGGGTAATAAGAAAATAGAACATGGCATATTTCACGCGATCCAATTTGTCAAAGCGCCAATTTCAATTTCCTTTTTAGTTCAGTTTTCTCCTGAAATGTCAGGTGTATTTTTAGCCTCAATTGGAAATACTTACCCGAGCGAACACATTAACCGATTTGAATGAGGAAACCGAAACGCAAATGCCAACTTCGATATCGGATCTGAATCGGCGGCCGTCCTTTCCACCGGCGAGGCCTGTGCGTGGGCTAGTCATGTCAACATCCGATCCATGTCTCCAAAGGCCGACATTGGGGTAAGGTTTTGGTCTTGTTCTTCAAGTGAGAGGATTATATATTACAAAGTGAAATACTTATTATTACAAATCGACTTCATTTAAAAGAGTGAGCCGTAATGTCACAGGGAATGCGTTGAAGAGCTTTGGTATGCATTTTTAATTGAGAATTAATTGATGAGTTTTGAGCTGCTATATATCAGTGTTTTACGCATGATGCTCAAAACGTGAGGTTAGCACAGGGGTGTTGCTCGTGACCGAGAGGAGGTGGACATTGGCGGACAAGTGTAAGTCGCAGTAGCAGCGCTTCGTATATAGTTGCGTCACAGATACTCTGGTGTGAATAATGGGAGGTTTGGTCGCTAGGAAAGGCCCTATGCGCACACCCATTGTTTGAACATCGAGCGTCGGTCTCGCTTGATCTTTCGTCGTTGGTTCTTTTCCCTTCGCGGCGCCATATTCTTATATCGCTGTCTTTCCTTACTTCTAAATCGTAGAACATATGTAAGCATTTTTGTGTGGTCGACGGTCTTTCTTCATCTTTTCCGAAAACTGGCGGTTTGCTCGACACGTTCACTGTCATTCTCGAGCAGCTTCTTCAGCTTACCATCTTGATATTGGGGCATACCTTTGTAACTAGTACCCTGAGTGTATTTGAGGGATTGTTATGGAACCTTCAACGACAGTAGCATGAAATCTGGAACTTTACAGAGTCTGTCTTACCGCAGCCAAATTGTGGCACTGTAAAAATATTTTTAGCGTGATGCCACGGTAAGTACGGTTATCCAGATATGGTCAATGATCTCATTCTGTGACATTCTTTTTGTGAGATCCTAATGGCTGAGTCTAACAAGTATTTGTTTGCAAAGGAGGGCAAAATTTTGGGTAGCGCTCAAAATCATCGAGAGTCGCATAGGGAACTCGCCGCTCTTGCAGCTTCCCATCTTTTCTTGAGGCGCATTTTGTCAGAGGTGCTATGATTTATCAACCTAGACCTGCACTGGGACGCGTGGAACCTTTCTTTCCACCATGAACTGTACTGTTGCCAGATTTGCTCTCTAGAGCTTTTCTAGAAAACCATCCAAGGGGCTTCACTTTCAACCCTATTTTGACATGCCTTTCTTTCAAAGGGTTAGATTTAAAGGATAAAGGATAAAGCATTTGCCGTTGATCAATCCGTTTTGGGATGCGGCACGCATTCTACTTCCATTTGTACATTCGTAGTGGCGTTTGAATGCGATGTGGCCTATACAATGACTTGCGGGGGCCAGCCGATGTACAAGTCAGTGTTTTTATCCCAGACAAGTATGGTACCAATTGGTTTTCCGGGCGAATCACGACTCAGGATTTGATCCCCGGACCGTTCGGAGCGTGCTACTTGCCGCTACACCACTTCCACCCCTAGATTTTAATAACAATGCTCAACCATTTGGGAGTACGTACCCACTCCAAACAAGACTACCACCAAAGTCATTCATGCAACAAGATTATCGTTGATGGGAAGGACTACAATAGATATCCAACGTTTACTCCTTGATCATTTTAAAGGCATCTGAGAAGTAAGTATCGGCATTCAGCAAGAAAACGAAGAAAAGGGATGCAAATTGAAGGGGTGGTTAAGTAAAGAATTTCTAAAAACGCTAAAAATTAAAATTCCTATTTTTGAGTAGAGATTGAATGCAAAAGACAGCGAAAGCATTGTCTTGTCGAACAGTGCTCTGGATCATTCCGCTGTTACATATAGCTGTACGCGCGTAAAGACAGAGGAAAAGTGGTGATATTAGGCCGGTGTTATACTTTGCAAATCCAGCGATCCGCTAGAAGCAAGACCGCAGAGTCGCTAGTGAACCTACGGGCTGTCTACTAGCGAATCGCTGGACTCACAAAGTTTGATATCGGCTTCAGAAATTTATCGATACGGACAATTTTTGACACTGTACGCTAGAGAAATCAATTGCTTACAACATATAGGCTACCTCTGAGTTCAAGCTATAGGTTATCTCGCAGTTTGTAGTTATGGTTCCACTGATTATTAACGATTTTCAGATCAGATGCTACCAGCCATTCAGAAGCATTCTTTCCTAGGATTAGTTGAGCAGAGCACTGAGACAGTCTCATCAAATGGCTCGTCTTCGTCGGAAAGGTAATGATTCGAAATAAATCGCTGGACTGTATTTCTTCAGTTTCCTCTTTCTTGCACTTTTTGCTTCCCGCTGCCGAACCTGTTGCAATTGCGGACCTGACTAGCCTTTGTTTATTCCATTATTTTTCATTGTACAGCTGGTTTCTTTTCCACTTTATTACCAACATTTTAAGGATTATTCATTTGAGGAAATAGAAGTTACGTGGTTTTTTTTTCAAGACCGTCGCTATTTCTGATACAAAGCCTACAATTACGAAAAGTGCAGCGGCAGGAAACAGTGAGTCTAATGATGTGGTTCACTTTTGGACTGCAAATGGTGATGGAGTTGTAAGAGAAAGACGAAAAAGACGTTTATCGTTTACTTTGAATTGAATCGCGTGAGGTGTGTGTCACTATGTC